ATTACACTGCTTAGCCGGTATTGCTCCACCTGACATCCGCCGGGAAGTAGCAGCCAATAGTGAAAGGACCAAGGCAGAGACATCTCCAGCTCATCCCCTGTTTGGGTATCAGACAGCACATCAACAACTTAAATCTAGAAATAGTTTTCTAAGTTCTACAGAGACACTCACTGGAACACCCCAGCAAGCAAGAGTCCAAAAGTGGCAGGCTCAAACCCAAAACCTCAACCAATGGCTGATACCAAATGAGAGACTCCCTCCTGGGCGACTTGGAAGGCGCTGAACAGACTGCGCTCCGGCACCACGAGATGCAGAGCCAACCTCAAGAAATGGGGCCACAAAGTGGAGTCCACGACACGCGAGTGTGGAGAAGAGCAAACCACTGACCACCTGCTGCAATGCACCCTGAGCCCTGCCACATGCACCATGGAGGACCTTCTTGCGGCAACACCAAAGGCCAGATACTGGTCAAAGGACATTTAATAGAATGCCAAGCTTGCAAACTTTGTGTTTTGTTTGTTTGTTTGTTTGTTAAAAAATGCAATACAACTGTTTGGTTTGCTCCTGACACGATAAATAAATAAGGTGGTCAATTGAAACATTCACACATAGCTCCGACCACATTGGAATGGATGATGCCAGTTTGTGACTCCATCCTATGTTGGGGAATCCTCACCATCGACCTCTTCCATCTCATCCAACGCCTCCTTTGGTGTGCGGACTTTCGAGTAAAGGAACTTGAGGACTGCTCTGTCTTCCATCTTATGGTAGGACATCCTCAACATCAACGTCTTACATCTCATTGAACGTCTCCTTTGGTGTGCGGAATTTCGAGTAAAGGAACTTGAGGACTGCTCTGTCTTCCATCCTATGATGGGGAATCCTCACCATCAACCTCTTCCATCTCATCCAACGTCTCCTTTGGTGTGCGGACTTTCGAGTAAAGGAACTTGAGGACTGCTCTGTCTTCCATCTTATGGTAGGACATCCTCACCATCAACGTCTTACATCTCATTGAAGGTCTCCTTTGGTGTGCGGACTTTCGAGTAAAGGAACTTGAGGACTGCTCTGCCTTCCATCTTATGGTAGGACATCCTCACCATCAATGTCTTACATCTCATTGAAGGTCTCCTTTGGTGTGCGGACTTTCGAGTAAAGGAACTTGAGGACTGCTCTGTCTTCCATCCTATGATGGGGAATCCTCGCCATCAACTTCTTTAATCTCCTCAAAAGTCTCCTTTGGTGTGCGGACTTTTGAGTAAAGGAACTTGAGGATTCCGCTGGGTCCATTCTCAAACCTCACACCATTTCCGCACCTGTAAAATCAAGAGCGTTCTCAGTTCTGAGTTGTAAATTGGCACGCAACCTATAGAGACCTATATCATTACACATGTACAGTATCAGCATCCTGTGATAAATAGAAGTGGGTCGTATCATTACAGAAAGAGGAAACGGGGCTGCTTTGTGCTATTTTCCCACTCAAATTAGCAATGGAGCCAAGGCTGCAGGGAGCAAAAATGACCGCCTTTCCTGCCCGCGTTGCATCCTTGGCGTGCCTTCCCTTTACGCCAAGCAAGGCTGAGCTAATAGCTTGCAACCCCCTGGACAATATTCGAAATACATTTGCCCTCTGGTATAGCTCCCCTTATTTGGAGCGCGGCTCAGAAAGACAGTGCTCTTGGGAGAACTGCAATCTCCTTGGCCGGAGAAACCTTGAAGAGGCAACAACAGGTGCTCCACTGCAAGCCGTATCCATTTCCCCCCCTCCCCATAGAACAGGGTTTCTCAATCTTCCTAATGCCACAACCCCTTACTACAGGTCCTCACATTATGGTAACCCTGAACCATAAAATTATTTTAGTTGCTACTTCATAAATCTAATTTGGCTTCCGTTATTAATCTTAATGTAAATATCTGATATGCAGGGTGTATTTTCATTCACTGGATGAACACAAATACTCAATATACCCAAATTTGAATACTGGTGCGGTTGGGAAGGAGATTGATTTTGTCATTTGGGAGTTGTAGTTTCTGGGATTCCTAGTTCACCTACAATCAAAGAGCATTCTGAACTCCACCAACGATGGAATTGAACCTTGAGGTTTGGAGTTGTCGTTCATCTACATCCAGATAGATCTGGACCAAACTTGGCATGAATACTCAATCTGCCCAAGTGTGAACACTGGTGGAGTTTGGGGGAAATAGACCTTGATATTTGGGAGCTGTAGTTTCTGGGATTTCTACTTCACCTACAATCAAAGAGCATTCTGAACTCCACCAACGATGGAACTGAACCTTGATATTTGGAGTTATCGTTCATCTACATCTGGATGGAAATGGACCAAACTTGGCATGAATACTCAATCTGCCCAAGTGTGAACACTGGTGGAGTTTGGGGAAAATAGACCTTGATATTTGGGAGCTGTAGTTGCTGGGATTTCTAGTTCACCTACAATCAAAGAGCATTCTGGACTCCACCAACGATGGAATTGAACCAGACTTGGCACACAGAACTTCCAAGACCAACACAAATACTGTAAGGGTTTGGTGGGCATCAACTTTGAGTTTTGGGAGTTGTAGTTCACCTACATCCAGAGAGCACTGTGAACTCAAACAGTGATAGATCTGGACCAAACTTGGTACCAATACTCAATATGACCAAATGTGAACGCTGGTGGAGTTTGAGGAAAACAGACCTTGATATTTGGGAGCTGTAGTTGCTGGGATTTCTAGTTCACCTACAATCAAAGAGCATTCTGGACTCCACCAACGATGGAATTGAACCAAACTTGGCACACAGAACTCGCATGACTGGGATTTGTTGTTCACCTACAGTCAAAGAGCATTCTGAACTCCACCAATGATGGAATTGAACCATACTTGGCACACAGAAATCCCACAACTGGGATTTCTAGTTCACCTATAAGCAAAGAGCATTCTGAACTCCACCAACGATGGAATTGAACCAAACTTGGCACACAGAACTCCTATGACCAACACAAAATACTGGAAGGGTTTGGTGGGCATCGACCTTGAGTTTTGGAGTTGTAGTTCACCGACATCCAGAGAGCACTGTGGACTCAAACAGTGATAGATCTGAACCAAACTTGGCACCAATACTCAATATGACCAAATGTGGACACAGGTGGAGTTTGGGGAAAACAGACCTTGACATTTGGGAGCTGTAGTTGCTGAGATGTATAGTTCACCTAAAATCAAAGACCATTCTTCAATTTCGGACACCCTCCATCTCTCCTGCTTCCATTGGGTGGGTCATGGTTCATCCTCTATCATCCTACTTTTCAGCTATATCATTACACATGTGTCCCGATCTTTCTGTCCCTTTTCCTTTTGTCCGCAACTTGCGTCAACTGGATTCAAAGTGGAGAGGAAGGAGACATATGTGAGACTATTTGCCATATAGGATGTCCCATTGAGGAGGGGATAAGCTTGTTTTTGCTGCTCCGGAGGATTCAAATTGCAGGGAAAGAAACTCCACCTTAACATTGGGAAGAACTCCCTGATGGTGAGAAGTGTATGGCAGTGGAATATGCTGCCTGGGAACCTGGTGGTGTCTCCTCCTCTGGAGGTTATTAAGCAAAAGCTGTTTGGCCATCTGTCGGGAGGGCTTTGATTGTGTATTCCTGGTGGGCAGCAGGGGCTTGGACCCAATGGCCCTTGGGCTCTCCTCCAACTCTAGGAATCTATCATCTTATTATGTTCAACATTTACACAAATGATCAGCCACTGCCAGAAGGGACAGAGAGTTTCATCTATGCTGATGATAGTGCCATCACCACCCAAGCAGAGGGTTTTGAAATGGTTGAACAGAAACTCTCCGAAACTTTAGGTGCGCTTACTGCCTATTACAGGGAAAATCAGCTTGCACCACCAATGTTTAACATGTACACAAATGACCAGCCATTGCCAGAAGGGACAGAGAGTTTCATCTACGCTGATGATAGTGCCATCACCACTCAAGCAGAGAGCTTTGAAATAGTTGAACAGAAACTCTCCGAAGCTTTAGGTGCTCTTACTGCCTATTACAGGGAAAACCAGGTTGCACCATCAATGTTGAACATTTACAGAAATGAACAAACCACTGCCAGAAGGGACAGAGAGTTTTATCTATGCTGATGATCGTGCCATCACCACTCAAGCAGAGAGCTTTGAAAAGGTTGAACAGAAGCTCTTCAAAGCTTGCTCCATCAATGCTTAATATTTACACAAATGACCAGCCACTGCCAGAAGGGACAGAGAGTTTCATCTACGCTGACGATCGTGCCATCACCACTTAAGTAGAGAGCTTTGAAATGGTTGAACAGAATCTCTCTGAAGCTTTAGGTGCTCTTACTGCCTATTACAGGAAAAACCAGGTTGCACCATCAATGTTTAACATGTATACAAATGACGAGCCACTGCCTGAAGGGACAGAGAGTTCCATCTATGCTGACGATCATGCCATCACCGCCCAAACAGAGAGTTTTGAAATGGTTGCACAGAATCTCTCCGAAGCTTTAGGTGCTCTTGTTGCCTATTACAGGGGAAATCAGCAGATTCTTAATCCATCTAAAATACAAGCGTAGGCTTTTCACCTGAAGAAGAGACAAGCATCGAGCTCTGAAGATCACCTGGGAAGGAATTGTAGCACACCCAAATACTTGTGAGTTACCCTGGACCGTGCTCGGAATTATTCAATATATTACCCTTCCCAGGGCACTCGAGCAAAAGCAAACTGCTGTATCCTCCGCTAAGGAGCCCTCACTGGACTCCAAGGCAGTGAGTTCCATTGTTGAACAGCTCTAAGTGGAATCTCCTTTCCTGTCCTTTTGAACCCATGGCTCCAAGTCCTGCTCTATCTACACGGGTGGGACCAATGGGCAATGTCTTGGGCTGGTCCGTTGGAGGGAAGAACTCTCCCAAAATAAGGCTCTTCCACTTTGCTTCCATAAAAGGTGGCCAAGATCCTCGTTCCCCGGGGGTCTCCTCGAGTGCTGAGCATTCTCTTTCCAGAAGTAAAAGGGAGTGGCTCCACTCTCTTCCCTATCTTTTCACTCCGCTCAGCCACCAGCAAGTCCAGGGGTTGCTTCTCCAAAAGCCGAGAAAATGGTGAGTCCCGAACGGCTGCTCTTTGCTCGTCTTTGAGAACGCCTCTCTTTTCTCCAGTGTAGATGGAGGAACAGATCAGCTCGTTTCAAGGTCCTAGACTGGGAGTTGGGACCCCTGGGGGAGGTCGCGAGGGGGTGTCAAAGGGGTCGCCAAAGACCACCAGAAAACTCAGTATTTTCTGTTCGTCCTGGGGGTTCTGTATGGGAAATTTGGCCCAATTCCATCGTTGGTGGGGTTCAGAATGCTCCTTGGTTGTAGGTGAACTATAAATCCCAGCAACTACAACTCCAAAATGTCAAGGTCTATTTTCCCCATACTCTACCACATTTTGGTATAACGAGTATTCGTGCCAAATTTGGTCCAGATCCATCATTGTTTGAGTCCACAATTCTTTCTGGATGTAGGTGAACTACAACTCCAAAACTCAAGGCCAATGCCCACCAAACCTTCCAGTATTTTCTATTGGTCATGGGAGCTCTGTGTGCCAAACAGGGTTCAATTCCGTTCTTGTGGAGTTCAGAATGATCTTTGATCATAGGTGAACTAGAAATCCCAGCAACTGCAACTCCCAAATGTCAAGGTCTATTTTCCCCAAAGTCCGCTAGTGTTCATATTGAGTATTCATGCCAAGTTTGGTCCAGACCTATTATTCTTTGAGTCCACTGTGTTCTTTGGATGTAGGTGAACTACGACTCCCAAACTCAAGGTCAATGCCCACCAAGCCCCTTTAATATTTTCTCTTGGTCATGGGAGTTCTGTGTGCCAAGTTTGGTTCAATTCCATTGTTGGTGGAGTTCAGAATTATCTTTGATTGTAGGTGAACTAGAAATCCCAGCAACTACAACTCCCAAATGTCAAGATCTATTTCCCCCAAACTCCACTAGAGTTCATATTGGGTATTCATGCCAAGTTTGGTCCAGATCCATCAGTGTTTGAGTCCACAGAGCTCTCTGGATGTAGGTGAACTACAACTCCAAAACTCAAGGTCAATGCCCATCATCATTATCATAAGCGGTTCCTCTTCTAATATTTTCTGGTGGTCATGGGAGTTTTGCATGCCAAGTTTGGTTCAATTCCATTGTTGGTGGAGTTCAGAATGGTCTTTGATTGTAGGTGAACTATAAATCCCAGCAACTACAACTCCCAAGTGACAAAATCAACCCCACCAGTATTCAAATTTGGGTGTATCGGGTATTTGTGCCAAATTTGGTCCAGTGAATGAAAATGCATCTTGCATATCAGACCAGTGATCCGATATGCAAGATGCATCTTTTCTAGTTGAAGCGCATGAGGGACTCTGAGCTGAGCAACACCTCCCTCTACTGGCCTCCTCAGAAGCGGCCTTCAGGTTGAAAGTAGGCAACTCAGTGTAGATCCATATAATGCCTTTCAAATTGCATTCCATGGGTCCGTATACTAACGATATCATCATCATAAGTGGCCCATAAATCTGATTGTCTTCTAGAAGCAGAGTCTTGGTGGTGGTTCCATAAGTGACTGTAGGGACCTAATCTGGATTAGCATGGTCTATCACATCCATGGGCAACCTTCAGCCCTCCAGGTGTTTTGGACTTTCACAATTCCTAACAGTCAATCTAAAGTTGACCAAAAACTGATTCGTAACCCTTTTAGTACTAATGTTGGAGTGTGGTCCCTGGTCAAGTGGTCAATGGTCAAAGTGGTCTCTGGTCAAGTGGTTCCAGTCAAAGTGGTCCCTGGTCAAAGTGGTTCCTGATCAAAGTGGTCCCTTATCAACTGGTTCTTGGTCAAAGTAGTCCCTGGTAAAGTGGTCAACGGTCAAAGTGGTCCCTGATCAAGTGGTCCTCGTTGAAGTGGTCCCTGGTCAAGTGGTCCCCGATTAAGTGATCCCCATTCAAGAGGTCCCCGTTCAAGTGTTCCCCAGTCAAGTGGTCCCTGGCCAAGTGGTCCCTGGTCAATGTTGTCCCTGTTAAAGTGGTCCCTGGTCAAAATGGTCCTCGGTCAAGTAGTCCCTGGTCAAGTGTTCCCCGTTCAAGTGTTCCCTGGTCTAGTGGTCCCCTGTCAAGTGGTGCCTGGTCAATGTGGTCCCTGGTGAAAGTGGTCCCTGGTGAAAGTGGTCCCTCATCAACTGGTTCTTGGTCAAAGTAGTCCCTGGTCAATTGGTCAATGGTCAAAGTGGCATAGACACTGAGAACTGGGAAGCCCTGGCCCTTGAGCGCTCCAGCTGGAGGACAGCTGTGACCAGCAGTGCTGCAGAATTTGAGGAGGCACGAGTGGAGGGTGAAAGAGTGAAACGTGCCAGGAGGAAGGCGTGTCAAGCCAACCCCGACCAGGACCACCTTCCACCTGGAAACCAATGCCCTCACTGCGGAAGAAGATGCAGAGCAAGAATAGGGCTCCACAGCCACATACGGACCCACAAGGAAATCCATAATGGAAGACCATCTTACTCGTCCAACGAGGGATCGCCTAAGTAAGTAAGTAAGGTCAAAGTGGTCCCCTATCAAGTGGTCCCCGTTGAAGCAGTCCCTGGTCAAGTGGTCCCCGCCCCGATCAAGTGGTCCCCATTCAAGAGGTCTCCGTTCAAGTGTTCCCCGTTCAAGTGTTCCCTGGTCAAGTGGTCCCTGGTCAATGTGGTCCCTGGTCAATGTGGTCCCTATTAAAGTGGTCCCTGGTCAAAATGGTCCTTGGTCAAGTGCTCCCTGGTCAAGTGTTTCCCGTTCAAGTGTTCCCCGGTCAAGTGGTCCCCGGTCAAGTGGTCCCTGGTCAAAGTGGTCCTTGGTCAATATGGTTCCTGGTCATAGTGGTCCGTGGTCAAAGTCGATGATTTTTCTGAACCAATGGGTTTAAGGTGTGCTAAATGTTTGATTGCAAAGCCTATCAATTCTGTATTTGTGTATTAACGTCCCGTTCTGAGAATGCCAAACTGTAGTACTCAACTCTGGGTCAGCATTGCCAAATCGTCCTTAACCTATGGCCTTCCCCTGCAGACAGAGGCGTTGACGCCAGCGCAGATCACCGAGTACAAGGGCATCTTTGAGATGTTTGACGAAGAGGGGAACGACTTGGTGAAAACGTCCGAGTTGGAGCGGCTCATGAGCCTGATCGGCATCAACCCAACCAAGAGGGAACTGGTGACGATGGCAAAGGATGTGGACAAAGACAGTAAGCGAACCTGCACGTGCCTCCGAGCCCAGAGCCCTTCTCCCTTGGCTTCTCTAGAAAGAGGTTTGGCCCAAAACTAGGCCGATGAAGCCCTATGGAGATGCCGAGGGCCAGATCCAACCGTTCTAGATTCAGATAAACATGTATCTCCTTTGCCCAGTACATAAGTGTTGGTAGTATCTCCATTTTAAGTACTTAGAATCATAGAATCATGGAAGAGACCTCCTGGGCCATCCAGTCCAACATCCTGACAAGAAGCAGCAAAATTGCATTCAAAGCACCCCTGACAGATGGCCACCCAGCCTCCAAAGAAGGAGCCTCCACCACACTCCAGAGAGTTCCACTTAGCTTAAACAGGAAACACTCACTCAACTGCTAGCTTCAAAGAAAAGGGGACCATCACTCACTTAGCTGCTGACCTGAGTTAAGAGGGAGCGCAAGAGGGAGCACTACTGTGGGAGTCCAAGTCTTTAGGGCTTCAGGGGAGCAGCCTCTGAGCCTCGTGCTCTTATCCACTTTGGGAGATTGCTCTTGTTACATCCCAAAAAGATTACCGCAACACACTCTACGTGGGGCTGCCTTTGAAGAGTGTTCAGAAACTTCAACTAGTCCAGTGGGCGGTAGCTAGACTACTCACTGGAGCATCATACAGGGAGCATATCACCCCTCTTTTGTGTCAGCTCCACTGGCTGCTGGTCCAGTTCCAAACACAATTCAAAGTGCTGGTTTTGACCTATAAAACCCTATATGGTACCTGTCCGAACGTATCTCCTTCTACGTCCCACCTCAGAACTTAAGACCTTCTAAGGGGGCCCTGCTCTGGACTCTGCCTCTGTCGCAAATGGTAGGGACAAGAGACAGGGCCTTATCGGTGGTGGCCCCCCACTCATGGAATTTGCTCTCTGGGGAAATTAGGTCATCTTCATCCCACCTCTCTTTTAGAAAGAAGTTAAAAACATGGATGTAGGACCTGGCCTTTGAGTAATTATGTGAACAATGACAACAACAACAATGACTTTGATAATTGACTACGGACAAGTTTGGAATCCGTCGAAATCCTTCCCCGCCTTCACGTCTCCTTTCTTCCCCCAGATAAAGGCACCTTCAACTGCGACGCCTTCCTCGTTTTGATGGGAATCTACCACGAGAAGTCCAAAAACCAAGACGAAGAGTTGAGAGCGGCCTTCAAAGTCTTCGACCAAGAACACAAAGGCTACATTGAGTGGAACACCTTGAAGTAAGTGGCAGGAGGCATTCGGAAGGTATCCAAACCTCGAGGACATCCCCAGAACTCCAGAGTGTATGGAGTAGCAGGGAGGAAGAGGAGGGTTGCATCTCCACCAGGCATGGGCCAACTTGAGTCCTCCAGGTGTTTTGGACTTCAACTCCCACAATTCCTAACACCCTCAGACCCCTTCCTTTCCCCCCTCAGCCGCTTAAGCGGAGGGCCCAAGTTTGCCCATGCTTGTTTTAGAACCTAGGTAACAACCAAACAATGGCAGGGCCTGAGCTTCCCTGATCTACGAGGGTTGAATGAAAAGTAATGCCTCCGCCTTCATAACTCCTCAACAGATGGCAGTACTGGTATGTGGCAGGTACTGGCTTGTTCAGTGGACTCTCCTCTACAGTTCCATTTTGGCAAGAAGCCTTAGCATTGAATGGTTGTGTTGTTAAAATGAAAAGTAATGCCTCCACCTTCGTAACTCCTCAACAGATGGCAGTACTGGTATGTGGCAGGTACTGGCTTGTTCAGCGGACTCTCCTCTACAGTTCCATTTTGGCAAGAAGCCTTAGCATTGAATGGTTGTGTTGTTAAAATGAAAAGTAATGCCTCCACCTTCGTAACTCCTCAACACATGGCAGTACTGGTATGTGGCAGGTACTGGGTTGTTCAGCAGACTCTCCTCTACAGTTCCATTTTGGTGGGAGCCTTAGAATTGAACGGTTGTGTTGTTAAAATGAAAAGTAATGCCTCTACCTTCGTAACTCCTCAACAGATGGCAGTACTGGTATGCAGCAGGTACTGGCTTGTTCAGTAGACTCTCCTCTACAGTTCCATTTTGGCAAGAAGCCTTAGCATTGAACGGTTGTGTTGTTAAAGTGAAAAGTAATGTCTCCACCTTCGTAACTCCTCAACAGATGGCAGTACTGGTATGCAGCAGGTACTGGCTTGTTCAGTAGACTCTCCTCTACAGTTCCATTTTGGCAAGAAGCCTTAGCATTGAATGGTTGTGTTGTTAAAGTGCGAAGTATGGAACCCTGCGCAGACGGTCGGTCAATGCGACTTAGGCAATGTGAAATCATTGAATTCTTGACAGCAGAAGGTGTCACCCTAAAGGAGATTCATCAGAGAATGCAAGCTGTTGAAGGTGATTGTGTTGATGTGAGTACTGTGCGTCGTTGGGCGAGTAAGTTTAAAGATGTTGAGGTGGGAACATCTGACTTGTGTCACAAAGAAAGAGTTGGACGTCCTGTGACAGCAACCACCGAGTTTCACAAGCAAATGGTTGAAAGATTGATTCAGGGCCATTGTCGTATCACTCAGAGAGAAATTTCAAGTATAATCGGCATTTCATAAGAAGGTGTGGGTCACATTATTGCTTTGCTTGGCTATCGGAAGATCTGTGCATGATGGGTACCCAGGATGCTGACGCCTGAAATGAAAGCGCTCAGACTTGAAACTTCAGAGACTGGATCTCACCACTTTACGACATCCTCCATACAGCCCAGATTTAGCACCATCTGACTTTCATCCATTCCTGATAATGAAAGAAGATCTGCGGGGACATCATCATGCTTCTGATGAAGACGGTGAGAGAATGGTGAGACGCTGGTTGCGGAAACAGAATGTCGACTTCTTCCGTGACGGCTTCAGAAAACTTGTTCATTGTTGGCAGAAATGTATCCAATTGTCTGGTGATTATGTTGAAAAGTGAATAGTGGTAGTTAAGAGCACATTCTAAGGATTATTTCTGCGTTTGGTTTATTAAAATATTCCCATCCAAACCCAAGTAACGAAGGTGGAGGCATTACTTTTCATTCATCGTTGGTAGAAATGTATCCAATTGTCTGGTGGTTGTGTGGAAAAGTGCATCGTGGTAGTTAAAGAGCACATTCTAAGGATTATTTCTGCGTTTGGTTTATTCAAACATTCCCATCCAAACCCAAGTAACGAAGGCGGAGGCATTACTTTTCATTCATCATTGGTAGAAATGTATCCAGTTGTCTGGTGGTTGTGTGGAAAAGTGAATAGTGGTAGTTAAAGAGTACATTCTAAGGATTATTTCTGTGTTTGGTTTATTAAAACATTCCCATCCAAACCCAAGTAACGAAGGCAGAGGCATTACTTTTCATTCATCGTTGGTAGAAATGTATCCAATTGTCTGGTGGTTGTGTGGAAAAGTGCATCGTGGTAGTTAAAGAACACATTCTAAGGATTATTTCTGCGTTTGGTTTATTCAAACATTCCCATCCAAACCCAAGTAACGAAGGCGGAGGCATTACTTTTCATTCATCATTGGTAGAAATGTATCCAGTTGTCTGGTGGTTGTGTGGAAAAGTGAATCGTGGTAGTTAAAGAACACATTCTAAGGATTATTTCTGCGTTTGGTTTATTCAAACATTCCCATCCAAACCCAAGTAACGAAGGTGGAGGCATTACTTTTCATTCATCGTTGGTAGAAATGTATCCAATTGTCTGGTGGTTGTGTGGAAAAGTGCATCGTGGTAGTTAAAGAGCACATTCTAAGGATTATTTCTGCGTTTGGTTTATTCAAACATTCCCATCCAAACCCAAGTAACGAAGGCGGAGGCATTACTTTTCATTCATCATTGGTAGAAATGTATCCAGTTGTCTGGTGGTTGTGTGGAAAAGTGAATCGTGGTAGTTAAAGAGCACATTCTAAGGATTATTTCTGCGTTTGGTTTATTCAAACATTCCCATCCAAACCCAAGTAACGAAGGCGGAGGCATTACTTTTCATTCATCATTGGTAGAAATGTATCCAGTTGTCTGGTGGTTGTGTGGAAAAGTGAATAGTGGTGGTTAAAGAGCAAGTAACGAAGGTGATCTCCGTTTTCCTTAGGTATGTGCTGACAAATGCTGGAGAGCCATTGGATGAACATGAAGCGGAGCTCATGATGAAAGAAGCCGACAAAGACGGGGATGGGACCATTGATTATGAAGGTACTGGGAATGTAAACAAGTTGCCTTCTGTTAGCCATAACGGGAGAAGCAAAGGCAAACCTTCTCTGAATATATCTTGGCAAGAGAATCCTATAATCCAGCGTTTCTCAACCTAGGGGTCGCGACCACTGGGGGGGTCGTGAAAGAGTTTCAGAGGGGTCGCCAAAGACCACCAGAAAACATCTATTTCTGAAGGTCTTAGGAATGCTCTTTGGCCGAGAAGGCTGAAGATCTCTCCACCTTCTCTTCTTCTTTGGAAACAGAGGGTGAATCCGCCCACCAAAAGCCCTCCTCCGCTGTGATTGGCTGGCCTCTCAGACAAGGGGAGGGCTGTTCCCGAGACTCCAAGCGGGGAGGGGAGAGCAGGCGTGCTCGGTGCATGACAATGTGGTGCGCATGTGCGTGCGAGGCTGGAGGGAGGTTCACGCAAGGGAATCCCTCCAAGGCATGGGGGTTCTGTATGGGAAGTCTGGCCCAATTCTATCATTTGTGGGGTTCAGAATGCTCTATACTATAAATCCCAAATGTTAAGGTCTATTTCCTCCAAACTCCACCAGTGTTCACACTTGGGTATATTGAGTATTCATGCCAAGTTTGGTCCAGATCCATCATGGTTTGAGTCCACAGTACTCTCTGTATGTAGGTGAACTACAACTCCCAAAACTCAAGGTCAATGCCCACCAAACCCCGTTAGTCATGAGATTTCTGTGTGCCAAGTTTGGTTCAATTCCATCGTTGGTGGACTTCAGGATGCTCTTTGATTGTAGGTGAACTATAAATCCCAGCAACCAGAACTCCCAAATGTCAAGGTCTGTTTCCCCCGAACTCCATCAGTGTTCACACTTGGACAGACTGAGTATTCATGCCAAGTTTGGTCCAGATCTATCTGGATGTAGATGAACTACAACTCCAAAACTCAAGGTCAATGCCCACCAAATAATTCGAGTATTGTCTGTTGGTCTGGGGAGTTCTGTGTGGCAAGTTTGGTTCAATTCCATCGTTGGTGGACTTCAGGATGCTATTTGATTGTAGGTGAACTATAAATCCCAGCAACTACAACTCCCAAATGTCAAGGTCTATTTTCCCCAAACTCCGCCAATATTCATATTGAGTATTCCTGCCAAGTTTGGTCCAGATCCATCATGGTTTGAGTCCACAGCGCTCTCTGGATGCAGGTGAACTACAACTCCCAAACTCAATTTCAATGCCCACCAAGCCCTTCCAATATTTTCTGTTGGTCACGAGAGTTCAACTTTGGTTCCATTCTATCGTTGGTGGTGTTCCGAATGCTCTTTGATTGTAGGTGAACTAGAAATCCCAGCAAAAACAACTCCCAAATGCCAAGGTCTATTTTCCCCAAACTCCAGCAGTGTTCACACTTGGGCAGATTGAGTATTTATGCCAAGTTTGGTTCAGATCTGTCTGGATGTAGATGGGAGTTCTGTCTGCCAAGTTTGGTTCAATTCCATCATTGGTCCATCGTTGGTGGACTTCAGGATGCTCTTTGATTGTAGGTGAACTATAAATCCCTGCAACTAGATTTCCCAAATGTCAAGGTCTATTTTCCCCAAACTCCACCAGTATTCATATTGAGTATTCATGCCAAGTTTGGTCCAGATCCATCATGGTTTGAGTCCACAGCCCTCTCTGGATGCAGGTGAACTACAATTTCCAAACTCAAGGTCAATGCCCACCAAGCCCTTCCAGTATTTTCTGTTGGTTATGGGAGTTCAACTTTGGTTCAATTCCATCGTTGGTGGGATTCAGAATGCTCTTTGATTGTAGGTGAACTATAAATCCCAGCAACTACAACTCCCAAATGGCAAAATCAATTCCCACCATATGTGTGTTTCTGTGCTTCTCTTTTCCAGAATTCGTGGCCATGATGACTGGTGAATCTTTCAAACTGACCCAATAAAACTCGCCGGAAGAAAGGAATGATCGGGAACGATTCTCTGGATGCCTTGCGCTCTTTTTCCTTCTCGAAGTGGAAATGCACAAAATAGGTCGTCTTTTCCCGAGGCCGAGGAGTAATAAAAATATCGCTCTCCAATGGCAAGAGTCAGCAAAGAGGAACGACCGCTCGCGACTGCAATCTCACTTCGCCATGCAACGGATTTCTTTTCCACGCTCAGCACGCAAGCGGTAACCGTTCCTCAATGGTTTTTTTCAATAAAAGAAAACAAAACAAATTATTTTTACAAAGTCATCGTCCAAGTTGTGGGGAAAACGTTCCACTTTACTTACTTACTTAGGCGATCCCTAAGTAGTGGGCAGGGTCATGCAAATTCTACACCAATGGAGAGAGTCAGGAACACTGGGATGTCAGTGGTGGAGGAAACACATATAATCTAGGATGAAATTGTCCCTGCTTGAAAGCCTTCACTTGGGTGGTGGGCAGGATGGTGTTGGTGGAGGACACTGGCAGGGCTCTTGGACATGTTYATGGTGCCACCMATGSAGAGARTCAGAAACACTAGGATGTCTGTGGTGGAGGAAACACAGATAATCTAGGATGAAATTGTCCCCATTTGAAAGCCTTCACTTGGGTGGTGGGTAGTATGGTGTTGGTGGAGGACACTGGCAGGGCTCTTGGACATGTTCATGGTGCCACCAATGGAGAGAGTCAGAAACACTAGGATGTCTGCGGTGGAAGACAGACATATAATCTAGGATGGAATTGTCCCTGCTTGAAAGCCTTCACTTGGGTGTTGGTGGAGGACACTGACAGGGCTCTTGRACATGTTCATGGTGCCACCCATGGAGAGAGTCAGAAACACTAGGATGTCTGCGGTGGAGGAAACACATATAATCTAGGATGAAATTGTCCCCGTTTGAAAGCCTTCACTTGGATGGTGGGTAGTATAGTGWTGGTGGAGGGCACTGGCAGTGCTCTTGGACATGTTCATGGTGCCACCAMTGCAGAGTCAGAAACACTAGGATGTCTGTGGTGGAAGAAACACATATAATCTAGGATGAAATTGTCCCCATAAGAAAGCCTTCACTTGGGTGATGGTGGAGGACACTGGCAGGGCTCTTGGACATGTTCATGGTGCCACCAATGCAGAGAGTCAGAAACACTAGGATGTCTATGGTGGAGGAAACACATATAATCTAGGATGGAATTGTCCCTGCTTGAAAGCCTTCACTTGGATGGTGGGCAGGATGGTGTTGGTGGAGAACACTGGCAGGGCTCTTGGACATGTTTACGTCGCTCTTTATAACCTGCAATGTCATTGGAGGGAGGGTCATTGGTGTCTTCTGAGTAGTGGGAGCTACGACTGTTCATGGGGGCAGAAGCTTGTCTGTGTATGCAGACATTCCAGCCACACACACACACACACATATTGTATGTCTGTGTATAAGGTAAAGGTTTCCCCTTGACATTAAGTCTAGTCGAGTCTGGCTTTGGGGAGTGGTGCTCATCCCCATTTCTAAGCTGAAGAGCCAGCATTGTCCATAGACACCTCCAAGGTCATGTGGCCCGCATGACTGCACCGAGTGCTGTTACCTTCCCGCCAGAGCAGCATGTATTGATGTTCTCACATTTGTATATTTTCGAACTGGTAGGTTGGCAGAAGCTGGAGCGAACAGTGGGAGCTCACCCCACTCCCCGGATTCAAACTGCCAACCTTTCAGCAAGTTCAGAAGCTCAGCGGTTTAACCTGCTGCACCATCAAGGGATCCATATATATAAATGGTGTGTCACCAACATGATATGTTTGGAAGGCTCTGTGTCAAGCGTCTTCTCTTAACACATTTGTGACGATCATGTCGCTTTTCCTTCCAACTCTATGGGGAATACAAAGGCATTTCCCCAAGAGCTGAAAAAGGGAAGCTCTTCTTCAGGGGGCGGCATCTCCACGCCTTGGTTGTTTTTGCTTAGACCAGGCTGACCAAACTGCTGACGGCCCTGGAAATTGCCGGCTTGACTTTGAAACGACGGGAAAGTGTCATGGACTCACGTGCTTTGAAACCAGAGCCGCCCAGGAGAGACCGAGGAGTCGGACGGACGAGGATTAGGGACGTTAGTTATTCTTAGACAACGTTTTCAGTGAGGATGTTGAAACACCTGCCATGCAAGGGAAGGGAAAGCTGGGTTAGCGGGTTGAAAAACCAACCCCCAAGGATCCTACCGTAGCCTTCCCTCAGTGGGGCGCCCTCCAAAAGTTTAGGAGTCCAACTACAATGCCCATCAGACTCAGCCAGTTAGCTAGGAATGATAATGGATTTAATTCAAGCACTTTGGAAGGTGTTGGAGAGACGTAAACAAGAAAGACAGGTCTATATATTCTGGAATAATATTTCGTGTTCCCTGGGCTTCCAAGTATTTGTGCATATTATTTTTATTTGATGTGCGGAGCCCTAGACTAGAACTTATATACAAGAGCACGAGGCCCAGAGGCTGCTCCCTTGAAGTCCTAAAGCACTGGACTCTCATGCTAGCACTCCCTCTGGCGCTCGCTCTTAACTCAAAAATATTTCATGCTTCCGGGGCTTCCATGTATTTGCGTACATTATTTTTATTTGATGTGAGGAGCCCTGGATTAGAACTTACATACCTTATGTATATAAGCATACAAGAGCATGAGGCCCAAAGGCTGCTCTCTCGAAGTCCTGAAGCACTGGACTCCCTCTGGCGCTCACTCTTAACTCAAAAATATTTCATGCTCCCTGGGTTTCCATGTATTTGTGCACATTATTTTTATTTGATGTGGAGCCCTAGACTAGAACTTATATACAAGAGCACGAGGCCCAGAGGCTGCTCCCTTGAAGTCCTAAAGCACTGGACTCTCATGCTAGCACTCCCTCTGGCGCTCGCTCTTAACTCAAAAATATTTCATGCTTCCCAGGGCTTCCATGTATTTGTGCACATTATTTTTATTTAATGTTGGGAGCCCTAGACTAGAACTTATATACAAGAGCACGAGGCCCAGAGGCTGCTCCCTCGAAGTCCTAAAGCGCTGGACTCTCATGCTAGCACTCCCTCTGGCGCTCGCTCTTAACTCAAAAATATTTCATGTTCCCAGGGCTTCCATGTATTTGTGCACATTATTTTTATTTAATGTTGGGAGCCCTAGACTAGAACTTATATACAAGAGCACGAGGCCCAGAGGCTGCTCCCTCGAAGTCCTAAAGCGCTGGACTCTCATGCTAGCACTCCCTCTGGCGCTTGCTCTGAACTCAACAATGTTTCATGCTCCCTGGGCTTCCACGTATTTGTGCACATTATTTTTATTTGATGTGGGGAGCCCTAGTACTAATATACCTTATATATGTAAGCAGACAAGAGCACAAGGCCTGGAGGCACGGATACATGAGGCCCAGAGGCTGCTCCCTCGAAGTCCTAGAATCATAGAGTGGAAGAGACCTCCTGGGCCAGAATCACTGGGTTGTTGTAGGTTTTTTCGGGCTATATGGCCATAGAATCATAGAATCCTATAATCAAAGAGTTGGAAGAGACCTCATGGGCCATCCAGTCCAACCCCATTCTGCCAAGAAGCAGGAATATTGCATTCAAAGCACCCCTGACAGATGGCCATCCAGCACGTTTAAAAGCTTCCAAAGAAGGAGCCTCCACCACACTCTGGGGCAGAGAGTTCCACTGCTGAACTGCTCTCACAGTCAGGAAGTTCTTCCTCATGTTCAGATGGAATCTCCTTTCCTAAAGCACTGGACTCTCATGATAGCACTCCCTCTGGAGCTCACTCTTAACTCAAAAATATTTCATCTCCTTGGGCTTCCACGTATTTGTGTGTATTATTTTTATTTGATGTGGAGAGCCCTAGACTAGAACTTATATACAAGAGCACGAGGCTCAGAGGCATGGATACATGAGGCCCAGAGGTTGCTCCCTCGAAGTCCTAAAGCACCGGACTCTCATGATAGCACTCCCTCTGGTGCTTGCTCTTAACTCAAAATATTTCATGCTCCCTGGGCTTCCATGTATTTGTGCATATTATTTTTATTTGATGTGGGGAGCCCTAGACTAGAACTTATATACAAGAGCACGAGGCCCAGAGGCTGCTCCCTCGAAGTCCTAAAGCGCTGGACTCTCATGCTAGCACTCCCTCTGGCGCTTGCTCTTAACTCAAAAATATTTCATGCTCCCTGGGCTTCCACATATTTGTGCGTATTATTTTTATTTGATGTGGAGAGCCCTGGATTAGAACTTACATACCTTATATATATAAGCATACAAGACCACGAGGCCCAGAGGCTGCTCCCTCGAAGTCCTAAAGCACTGGACTCTCATGCTAGCACTCCCTCTGGTGTTTGCTCTTAACTCAAAACATTGCTCTTATATCAAAGCAAAATCTCAAAATGCTTTTAAGTTGGGACCCTCTTAAGCTGAGGTTCTTCTCTACATTCATTTCACTATAAACCGTTATTGAAGTAGCTGCTCACTTTCAAGATCTCTACAGGGTTTCCTACCTTTCATGTGCCTGGGTTCTTTACAACCAGGTTTCTTGAACAATAATTATAGTAACAACAACAACAACAACACTTTATGTGTATTCCGCACTATCTCATAATGGGACTCAGGGTGGATTCCAGCATATACAGAGACACAAGGCAAACATTCAATGCCTCTAAACAATGAAACACAGATAAAGTTAAAGTTTTCCCCTTCATCTACGGCTCTGGGGTTGGTACTCATCTCCATTTCTAAGCCGACGAGCCGGCGTTGTCCACAGACACCTCCAAGATCATGTGGCCAGCATGACTGCATGGAGAGCCATTACCTTCCGGTCAAAGCAGTAGCTATTGATCTACCCACGTTTTCAAAAGCGGTACCTATTGATCTACCCACACGTTTAAGTTGGAAGAAGCTGGGCCTAACAGCAGGAGCTCACCTTGCTCCCTGGATTCAAATTGCCGACTTTTCGATCAGCAAGTTCAGCAGCTCAGCGGTTTAAACTGCTGTGCCAGCGGGGGCTCTCTATATATATATCTCACCAACAGAGCCTATGAGAGCCTAGGGGCCACAGTTAGCACAGCGGGTTAAACCGCCAGCTACAGAAAATCTTGCCAACCAGAAGGTCAGCAAGTCAAGTCATCTGTGGGATGAGCTCCCGCCATCAGCCCCAGCTTCTGTTAACCTAGCAGTTCGAAAACAGATAGGTAAACTGTGGCAGGGAGGTAAAAGGCACCCCCAATGACATGTCAGCAATTCGATCAGGAAGGTGTCCATGGACAATAAGCTTCTTGGCATGGAAGAATGGAACAACAGCACCTCCCTGTGGCCAAGCCGAGCACAGCCTCCAGACGCCGGAAATGAAAAAGAGGGAAACCTTTGCCTCTGTCTATGTACTGTCTGTCTTTGTTATTTGCATAACAGCAGTGAATGTTTGCCAAATATGTATTCTGGGGAGTTAGAGCGGAATATAAATAAAGCATATTACGAATCCAAAGGAAAAGACTCGGACGCACACGGCGACACCAACTTGGCAGGTACGTCTTGTGTACATTTGTCTCCTCCTTTTTTGAAAACGATTTCCCTGTTGCCATTCAGGAAGGAAAACAAGGAAGTAATTCAAGAGGCCGTAACCTTCTGGCACGGCGATCATTAGGCAAAGACCGCATCCCATTCATAAGTAAATTTGTTCAAGGGGAGTTTCCTCGATTTGCAATGCCATGTTAAGTGGCGCAGTGTTGCCAAGTTGAATATTGACTTTCTACATTCTCCTCGTTCTGTTGTCTTTCTACTATAAACAAAACCCAAATAGGAAAGGGCTTAAGGCAAGCCTGGGAATTGTGGAAATCCCCAGAAGACTGCAGTCCTCAGCATTCATGATACCGGGCTGCTGTAGGTTTTTCGGGCTATATGGCCATGTTCAGACAGACAGATGCTTGTCTGATCTTAAGATGTAAAGCACACATCTGAATTTTAAATGGATTAGGAATCAGCTGCTTTCCCCTGGAATACCCAGTAAGAGCACCTAAAGCTTCCGAGAGCTTCTGTTCAACTATTTCAAAGCTCCCTGCTTGAGCGGTGATGGCACGATCATCATCATAGATGAAACTCTCTGACCCTTCTGGCAGTGGTTGGTCATTTGTGTAAACGTTAAACATTGTTGGAGCAAGCACACATTCCCCCGAGGCAGACCGTTCTTCTGTTTTCGCTATCTGCTTCTCGGGCCCTGGAACTCAACAAAAATGCTCCTGTTTTGTAGCAAAAAATGACTTTGTCAAATAACCTGGGCAACACTGGGTAACCAAACTAGTTAGTAATAATCCTCAGATATTCAAATAACAGTGTTGTATGGGTCAGTAAAACAGTTTTGTGGCCAGAGGACTTTCTTGAACAGGTTTCACCTTACAGTTGAGCTTCTATTCAACTATTTCAAAGCTCCCTGCTTGAGCAGTGATGGCACGATCATCAGCATAGATGAAACTCTCTGTCCCTTCTGGCAGAGGCTAGTCATTTGTGTAAATGTTAAACATTGATGGAGCAAGCTTCAGAGAGCTTCTCTTCAACCATTTCAAAGCTCCCTGCTTGAGCAGTGATGGCACAATCATCAGCATAGATGAAGTTTCAGTGAGCTAGGGTCTAGGACAGTGGTTCTCAACCTTTGGGTCCCCAGGTGTTTTGGCCTACAACTCCCAGAAATCCCAGCCAGTTTACCAGCTGTTAGGATTTCTGGGAGTGGAAGGCCAAAACATCTGGGAACCCACAGGTTGAGATCCACTGGTCTAGGAGAACGTAGCTGAAAAGCAGCTGGAAGATTGGTCAAAGGAATAGGTAAAAGATAGTGTGAAGTCTGGTTTATATGTATAGCAGTCCTTTTGTGAAGAAAAAGGAATAGATTGGAAGAAACTCATATTGAAACGTTGTTTTGTAATCAGCAAGCATTTGATCCTTTGTAACCACTACGCTTATGCTTCAAGAATGCTACAAATAAAGTGAGTTACTGTTTCATCATAAACAAAGCCTCTTTCTCTCAATCTCTCGGTTACAGATCTCTCTGTGCTTTCGTTTCAAATGGTGGCAAGTAGTGGGATGATGAAATTAAAGCCCCCCCCCTCGCCTGAAGTTTGTTTGTTTTGTTTGTTAAACATTGATGGGAATATGTGAGTGTGGAGAAGAGCATGCCACAGACCACTTACTACAATGCAACCTGAGCCCTACCACATGCACAATGGAGGACCTTCTCACAACGACACCAGAGGCACTCCAAGTGGCCAGCTTCTGGTCAAAGGACATTTAGTATAATGCCAAGTTTTGAACTTTGTTTGTGGTTTTTCTATACAATGGCATGATAATACAGGGTTAGTCAAAATGAATAGGCCAATAAGAAAATTAATTTTAGACAAATGTATGTTTACTGTAACCAAACCACAGCTACGTAGCGACAGATAAACTATCAAAGTTTTGTCTCACCTTCAGAGATGTTCGATATGGGCGCCCCGTGTGACACGGCAGATGTCCAAGCGATAGTCCAGTTCATTCCACATCCGTTGCAGCACATCCGACGTAATGGCATCGAATGCAGCAACGTCTGGGAAGGTGTTCGTTGAGGTCCTAACCCTAACCCTAACCCTAACCCTAACCCTACCCTAACCCTAACCCTAACCCTAACCCTATCCCTAACCCTAACCCTATCCCTATCCCTATCCCTATCCCTAACCCTATCCCTAACCCTAACCCTAACCCTAACCCTATCCCTATCCCTATCCCTATCCCTATCCCTAACCCTAACCCTATCCCTAACCCTAACCCTAACCCTATCCCTATCCCTATCCCTATCCCTAACCCTAACCCTATCCCTAACCCTAACCCTAACCCTAACCCTAACCCTAACCCTTGAAATTCTCGCTGGACCGTAATTACTGACATTGTTTTAGCAAATGTCATCACACAAAACGCCTTCTCTTTGCTTGATTCCGCCATTTTGAAAACAGCGACCCCTAGCGACGCCTAGCGGCATTAACGTACATGTGTGTTGCTCAAAAAAAACTTTGATAGTTTATCTGTCGCTACGTAGCTGTGGTTTGGTTACAGTAAACATACATTCGTCTAAAATTAATTTTCTTATTGGCCTATTCATTTTGACTAACCCTGTACTACTAGAATCTGCAGCCCAACAACGTCAGCAGGGAGAATAATTCTATCATACATGAATTCTCTTTCCTTCTGCACACACTAGTTTGCCCATGTAAATAAAAGCAACGGAAAGCCAAAATCTACCGTAGTTCAAAAACCACAACAGGCCTTTCTTTGTAGTGTTTGTGAGCACCTGAAATCCAGAAACAACATGTTTGCTGCATTCTGACACATGCATGTATTTACATTTCAAACAAGGTGCAGCCATTTCTCGCCACGGAAAAGGGGAAACATCTCCCAACTTGGACAGAAGTGGTTTGCAAACAAAACGCAGTCTTTCAATGAGCAGGGGAATGTCAACACATCGACACAACAAAGCGCATTAATATGACCTTTGGAGTCAAAGGACTTTGGCCGTTACATAGCAACGAATCCGATCCTTCAGCACTTTGCTGGACACGTCTTTGGAGGAGACACGGTTGTGTGCTCTCGGTCTTCTTCTGCCTCTTTGAGACAAAAGCAGCACCAAGAAGGCCCTCTGCCACGTTCCCAGTATGTCTCAAGACGATAACAGGCTTATACTGGGAGTAATGGTGCTTCAAGTGAACCTTGAAGGCCCTCTTCTACATTCCCAGTATGTCTCAAGACAACGAGAGGCTCATACTGTGAGTTATGGTACTTCAAGCGAGCCTTGAAGGCCCTCTACCATGTTCCCAGTATGTCTCAAGACGACAGGCTCATACTGGGAGTTATGGTGCTCCAAGTGAGCCTTGAAGGCCCTCTTCCACGTTCCCAGCATGTCTCAAGACAACGAGAGGCTCATACTGGGAGTTATGGTGCTTCAAGCGGGCCTTGAAGGCCCTCTTCCACGTTCCCAGTATGTCTCAAGACAACAACAGGTCATACTGGGAGTTATGGTGCTTCAAGTGAGCCTTGAAAGCTCTCTTCCATGTTCTCAGTATGACTCAAGACAACAAGAGGCTCATACTGTGAGTTATGGTCCTTCAAGCGAGCCTTGAAGGCCCTCTACCACGTTCCCAGTATGTCTCAAGACAACAACAGGCTCATACTGGGAGTTATGGTGCTTCAAGTGAGCCTTGAAAGCTCTCTTCCATGTTCTCAGTATGACTCAAGACAACAAGAGGCTCATACTGTGAGTTATGGTCCTTCAAGCGAGCCTTGAAGGCCCTCTACCACGCTCCCAGTATGTCTCAAGACAACGACAGACTCATACTGGGAGTTATGGTGCTTCAAGTGAGCCTTGAAGACCGTCTTCCATGTTCCCAGCATGTCTCAAGACAACAAGAGGCTCATACTGGGAGTTATGGTGCTTCAAGTGAGCCTTGAAGGCCCTCTTCCACGTTCCCAGTATGTCAACGACAGGCTCATACAGGGAGTTATGGTGCTTCAAGTCAGCCTTGAAGGCCCTCTTCCACGTTCCCAGTATGTCAACGACAGGCTCATACTGGGGGTTATGGTGCTTCAAGTGAGACCTTGGAGGCCCTCTACCATGTTCCCAGCATGTCTCAAGACAACGACAAGCTCATACTGGGAGTTATGGTGCTTCAAGTGAGCCTTGAAGGCCCTCTTCCACGTTCCCAGTATGTCAACGACAGGCTCATACAGGGAGTTATGGTGCTTCAAGTCAACCTTGAAGGCCCTCTTTCATGTTCCCAGTATGTCAATGACAGGCCCATATTGGAAATTATAATGCTTCAAGTGAGCCTTGAAGGCCCTCTACCATGTTCCCAGCACATCTCAAGACAACGACAGGCTCATACTGGGAGTTATGGTGCTTCAAGTGAGCCTTGTAGGTCTCGAGAGCGTAGGTCTCTCTGTTGCTGTGTCAATCCAGCGCAATAAACAACCGACATCAAGAATTTCCCGTCCACGGAGAGTCTTATTTTTAACCCAGCCTTCCATTTGGACCATCTCAAATGTCAACGGAAAGTTCTCTCCAATCTGAGGAGGCATTCTTTCCATGCGACGGGCCAGGCAGGAGAGACCTCGCTCTCGTTTTGAGTCTAGAGAAGTCACATTGTCAGCCGTCCCGGACTAGGGCTGCGACTGGCCTTGCGTGGAAGCGTCCACAACGTCGGAGCTTCCTGCCGTGGCCTCGGGGCTACTTGGTTCGTGCGCTTCCTCGGGTGTGGCGGGTTCGGTGGCCTCGCCACCCGTCTTCTGGCCTACAAACAGGGTCTCGACGGAAGGCTTGGCCATCCGGACGGCCTCGTCGTAGGACGGCGGCATTTCGATGGCGTAGAGGCTGTAGGCCGGAGGGCTGGACATGCCCCTGTCCGCCTCTCGGAAGGGAAAAGGAAGCGGGAAGCTCCCGGGATACTGCACCGAGCTGTACGCTGCAAGGAGACAACACACAAAGTTGTTTGGAGACGTCAACATATAAATTGCACAAAAGGAATCTATAACTATAATCTAAATCGCATGCAAAGTCATGTATTCGTTAACATTAGCGTTAGGGATGCTTTGGGCCGGGCTTTAGCACAGCTGGAAAATCACCGGCAATGATTCTTGCAGGTTTTTCGGTCTATACGGCCATGTTCTAGAAGCATTCTTTCCTGACGCTTCGCCTGCACCTATGGCAAGCATCCTCATAAGTTAACATTAGCAATAGGGATGCATTGGGCCGGGCTTTAGCACAGCTGGAAAATCACCGGCAATGATCAGATCTGGTTCTTGCAGGTTTTTCGGTCTATACGGCCATGTTCTAGAAGCATTCCCTCCTGACGCTTCGCCTGCATCTATATGGCAAGCATCCTCAGACGTTGTTAGACCTCACAACCTCTGAGGATGCTTGCCGCAGATGCAGGCAAAACGTCAAGAGAGAATGCTTCTAGAATTTTGCCATATAAACCTGTAACAACCCAGTGGTTCCAGCCATGAAAGCCTTCGACAATATAATGAGAAGATCTACCAACCGAAAGGTTGCCAATTTGAAGCCCTGGGTAGGCGTGAGCTCCCGACTGCCAGCCCAGCTTACTGTTTACCTAAGTAGTTCGAAAACAGCTTGAAGCTGCAAGGGTATTCAATGCTAATCAAGTTGGCCAATTGCAACCTTCAAACAGACAAAAGTTCTTTCTCCCACCCTGATATAAAAACCCCACTTGGTTGACCCCTCAACATCTGAGGATGCCTGCCATTAATGTGGGCAAAACATCAGGAGAGAATGCTTCTGGAACATAGCCAGACAGCAACCCAGTTTTATTGATGCCCCCCATACTCACAAGTGACGGTGCTGTGGGCCGTACTGTCATGGTCCATGGGGACGATGGTGGGGTCGTGGGCGTGCGGGGGAAACGGCTGCATCGGAGGCCTCTTCTTACGGCAACAGAACTTGACGCAGCTGGCGCCAATGCCACACATCAGCAACAGGAACACAGCCAGCAGGATGAGCCTAAGGGACGACGGCACCATTGTTATCGGCATTTGATAATACAATTAAGACTGAAGAAGAACAAGAACAGCACATGCAAGACCCTTCCACAAGTAGCCACTGTGGCACAACGAGCTGCTGAACTTGCTGACCGGAAGGTTGGCGGTTCGAATCCGCGGGACAGGGTGAGCTCCCGCTATTAGTCCCAGCTCCTGCCAAACATGCAAATGTGAGTACATCAATAGGGAAGGTAAATGGCGCTCCATGCAGCCATGTTAAATATTGACGGAGGATGCTCTCCTGAGGCAGGCTATTCTTCTGTTTTCGCCATCTCCTTTTCTGTCCCTGGAACTCAACAAAAAAGCTCCTGTTTTGTAGCAAAAATGACTCAAATAACCCGGGCAATGCCGGTTACCCAAACTAGTAAATAATAATCCTCAGGTATGCAAATAACATTGTGATATGGGTCAGTTGTGTGGCCAGAGGACCTTCTAGAACAGCTTCCATCTTTCAGAAAGCGCCCTCCTCTCGCTTAGAGTCAACTACGTGCCTGTGGGTCGTGCCACGGCCTCTCGACTTCCATTCCCATTCATGAAAATGGGGCAATCTAAGAACCTGTCTCACTTGGAATATTTCGGTGAGTTTGCCTCATGACGATGAGTAAGATGAGAATTTTAGAACAGGGTGGACGGCAATCTTGCCTTTTCTGGTTGAGAAAGCCCTGGGGGTGTTTTCACATGGTTGGATAAGGAAATTGCTTCCGCCACTTCCTCCCTGGGTTGGAATGCGCTGCTGTCAAACTCCCTTTAGCAGACGAGGAGGTCAGCACAGTACTGCCTGGCCAGAGATTTTAGGACACAAAGCAACACCAACAGAGGCTTCTCCTGGTATCAAAGGCATCTTTCAATGACATCTGAGGGTTGTCATCTGAGGTCTCAATGGAACTATGAGTTCAAATGACAGGAAAGGACTCTGTGAGTTTGCCTCAGTGGGAGAAAAGCCTCAGTCCGTGAGAAGGCCTCACAGTGTGAGGTAGGCCTTAGTCTGAGAGAAGCCTGTGTGAGAGAACGCCTCAGGGGGAGACGAGATCTCAGTGTCAGTAGGCCTCAGAGTGTGAGGTAGGCCTTATTCTGAGGGAAGCCTGTGTGAGAGAACGCCTCAGGGGGAGACTAGATCTCAGTATTAGTAGGCCTCAGAATGTGAGGTAGGCCTTAGTCTGAGAGAAGCCTGTGTGAGAGAACGCCTCAGGGGGAGACGAGATCTCAGTGTCAGTAGGCCTCAGAGTGTGAGGTAGGCCTTATTCTGAGGGAAGCCTGTGTGAGAGAACGCCTCAGGGGGAGACTAGATCTCAGTATTAGTAGGCCTCAGAATGTGAGGTAGGCCTTAGTCTGAGGGAAGCCTGTGTGAGAGAACGCCTCAGGGGGAGACGAGATCTCAGTGTCAGTAGGCCTCAGAGTGTGAGGTAGGCCTTATTCTGAGAGAAGCCTGTGTGTGAGAACACCTTAGGGGGAGACTAGATCTCAGTGTCAGTAGGCCTCAGAGTGTGAGGTAGGCCTTAGTCTGAGGGAAGCCTGTGTGAGAGAATGCCTCAGGGGGAGACTAGATCTCAGTATTAGTAGGCCTCAGAGTGTGAGGTAGGCCTTAGTCTGAGGGAAGCCTGTGTGAGAGAACGCCTCAGGGGGAGACGAGATCTCAGTGTCAGTAGGCCTCAGAGTGTGAGGTAGGGCTTAATCTGAGGGAAGCCTGTGTGAGAGAATGCCTCCGAGGGAGACTAGATCTCAGTGTTAGTAGGCCTCAGAGTGTGAGGTAGGCCTTGGTATGAGAAGGCCTCGTGTG